CTTTGGTTGTTTGCCTGGTTAGGAGGAACAAAGAATCTCATACTTGTACAAGTCACAAGGCACCAGAGCCAAATCTAGCACCCGAGAAGCACACAATTTTGGAAAATGGATTGTATGAAATGGACAATTTTATTGTGAATTTGGGACCTAGAAAGAAAACGTCGAGGCCGGTCTTGCTCGTCTTTCTTCTGGTCATACTCATAGTCACTTGTCAGTTTGAATGGAGGCAACAGCTTGTTGAGCTTGATGCAGCTCGTACCTTGGCTCAGAAGCAGCAGCAGGAAGGAGAAGGTACGGATTCAGTGATTCTAATTATTTTCAAGGAAATTCTGAGTGTTCAGTTGTATGCAAAAGACCTGAAATGGCTTTGAGATTATGACTTCCGGGTTTCGTAAGCATTAGAAGGGATATGCGTATTTGGATAGAGTTGCGAGCGAGGCTTTTATATACCTTGGTTGTTGTCTTTCTGGCTGTATTCTTGGCATTGAAGTCAAGTGCTTATTATAGTTTCCGGGATTGGATTTCATTTCTTGATCTCTCTTTGTGAGAATGTGTCTCGAATCCATCAGAATTCTTAGTGTAGGCATTGAAGTATGGGTTCTGACTTCTGAGCCTTCTATTGGGTTTTCTCTGATTGCATCAAGTAATTGAGGTTAATGCAGAAATTTAGTAATGCTCTGGAAATTGTTGACATGTGTTTTTGTCTTTCCAGATAAGTCGATTGTAAAATCTGATACCGAATGGTTCTTCTTCTGTTCCCGTGGCAAAAAGTAGAAAACCTTGAGGTTTGTTGGTAAGCCACTGCCATGGATAGCTTTCTATAGGGAGAGGAAGAAGACTAAAGAAGCTGAGCCTAAAGAGAAGAATAAGGAAGAGCTTGGGGGAAGTCAGTGAATAAGATGGCTGAGCTTGGAAGAACAAAGTGGCCAAGCCTTAAAGAGTCTTAAGTCGAGTGTATTAGAGCAAGGCTTGAACTAAAAATTGGCTTGTAATTCCTCACTTTAATCGGCTTTGGTTTCTATAATTGAGGATATATATATGGCGCATGTATGGGAATGTGGTAAACTAATCACAGGTTTTCTTGATAACGATTGTGTGCTTTAGTGTGAAACTAAAAGTAATTTTTGTTGAAGGATAGTTTTGACTCGATTGTTTCCTTTTCCTTATATAATTCCATTTTCATGTCTTTTTTGTAATTTTCTTTCCATGAAAAACTATATTACAATTCAATTTTGACTCAATTGTTTCCTTTTCCTTGTATATAATTCCATTCCCATGTGATTTGTAGTTTTCTTTCCAATGAA